TGTCTCTCCAAGCTTCAAGTATTTGTTAAGTAATACTAAAAGAAATAGACTAAGGCAATACTATTTAGTTAAGAGGCAGGGCGAGCATACGTGACTGTTGGTTGGTTAACTCCCCAGCTAACAGGGCAACAGCCAGGAGCTAGAAATTAATCCAGGTCTTCTGGGACAGGGGGGCGCGTAGAAGTTACGCAAATAATTCAGCCATCACCACTGTCTCCCAGGATCTGCGTAGCAGGAAGTTAGAATCAGAGGCAGAGCCGGAATCAAACCCAAGTACTCTGATGAAGGATGTACATGCTTTAACTGCTAAGCTAACAGCTTGGTCCCTCTTTTTATTCATTTATTTTTTTAATGAATGAATAAACACAGGAATAGGTGAAAGAAGTTTCTAAAATTAAAGACTGGGCTTTGCATTTCTTCATGATTCACATTGCTAACATAACAGGAGCAACAACTGTTTAGAGTGTAGAAGTTTTACTGTGTTCTTAGGCTTACAGCCTTAATGAAATTCCGTTGTTAAATTTAGCCTAGGTTGTCACAAATCAGACTTTGATCAAAATAGTTGTCTGAAACTGGTTCTCTCATACTTTTTTCCTGCCACAATCTTTGAAAAGCCAGATCCTTTTGTTTCTGTTCGAAACTCACTTCTAACCTTAACCTAAGCACTGAGTATCCCCTGCTTTAGCCTTTCATTCCTAGTATGGATTGAAAGGGATCCAAATATGCCTTCCAAAATACCCCATTGTAGCAAAAGAACCATTCTGAGCTGAAGGCAGTTGAGAAACAAGAAAAACTCTCTGCCCACCACCTCCCCAGTTTTTTCTGCTTTTTAAAAAGATTTATTTTTATTGGAAAGTCAGATTTACAAAGAGGAGGAAAAACAGAAAAAAAGATCTTCTGTCCACTGATTCACTCCCCAAGTGGCCACAACAGCCAGAACTGAGCTGATGCAAAGCCAGGAGCCAGAAACCTCTAGGCCAGGAGCCTCTTCCAGGTCTCGCATGTGGAGATTCAGGATCTAGGACCTTGGGCCGTCCTCAACTGCCTTGTTGGGCCATAAGCAGGGAGCTGGACAGGAAGTGAGGCAGCCTGGACCAGGCACAAGCAAGAAGGACTTTAGCCACTAAGCTGCTGTGCCACACCTTTTTTTTTTTTTTTCCTGCTTTTGTAACAATCACTTAAGTTTCTATCTGTAAGGTTATCCCCATCTCTCACATCAGGAAAAATAACTTAATCACTGTGGTGATGATGAACTCAATGAGTTTGCATAATAGCCCTATCCATTCCTAACCATTTTCTCCCTAGGAGCTCACCTCTGCATTCCATTTCCTTTATCTGGTCACTTCTTCAGAATTCATTACGCTTTATTAAAATAGTACTTAAGCCCAAGTCCAAATACCTCTGCAGGGTTCTCACTTCTTTTCAGTGACCATGTACCCATGTATGGAAGAATATTGAAAAACTTACTACGTCTTTTTTGTGCACCTGTCTTTGTTGATTTAATTTATAGTCTCCAATTAAAAGATACAAGAGAATAGAATAAAACAATTTTTCCTCATCTCTCTAATCTAGAATTAATTTCTTAAATAGGAATTATTACAATCTCATATCCAATTTACATTAAGTTTGTCATTCATTTGGTCATTGTTGACATTTTAAAAATACATGTAGACCAGTGCTGTAGTCTAGCAGCTAAAGTCCTCGCCTTAAACGCGCCAGGATCCCATATGGGCGCCGGTTCTAATCTCGGCAGCCCCACTTCCCATCCAGCTCCCTGCTTGTGGCTTGGGAAAGCAGTCAGTCGAGGATAGCCCAAAGCCTTGGGACCCTGCTCCCGCGTGGGAGACCCGGAAGAGGCTCCGAGCTCCTGGCTTAGGATTGGCTCAGCTCTAACCATTGCAGCCACTTGTGGGGGTGAATCATCAAATGGAAGATCTTCCTCTCTGTCTCTCCTCTTCTCTGTATATCTGACTTTCTAATAAAAAATAAAATAAATCTTTTTTTAAAAAAAAAATACATGTAGATCAATGGCTTTCTGCCTTCTTCTGTGCTGAGGACCTGGAAATAAGAAAATTAACAAATACACCTCAAAAAATGTCTCAAGATGTGAAGGACAGGAATGAATATGTATAGAAATGAATAAGTGGACAAGGGGAGGAGGGCAAGCTTTTCTACTTAGAGACATTAGAAAAGGCGTCCCATAGGAAAGAGCTCACAGATGAAGCCCTTAGAATGAGTGGGCATTCCCAAATTGGAGGGAGGGGGAAGGGGAGCCTCTGAGGCAGAGGAAGTCAGGTGAACCCAGGTTTGGAGTGCCTGCAGGTGGGGACCTGCCAAGAGTGCGTCATCTCTTTATCCTTCATGTATCTGAAAGACTGTTGTGGCAGGCCTCAGGGACGGCATCAAATTCCAGCTGCTCTACCACTTAGGAACTGCATGAACCTTGGCCAGGGGAGGTCATTTCTCCTCTTGAGGCTTCAACTAAAAACGGAGATAGGAACTAAACCGATAGCATTAGATTGGTGTGAGAGTTAAAAGAACTCAAGGCCTTTACGACTGTTTCTAGCACCATTTAAGTTGTTTGGTTCTTTTTTGTTGTTTCATTTTTCCCACTTTGGACATTTGTGCAAATATGTATATTTTTATGTGAGTGCTTTTGGTCAATGTTATGTTTTGAAATGCATCCATACTGATGCAGGCATCTGCAGTTCATTTCCTAGTTACCTTCTTAGTTACCCATCAAGTGATGCCACATCACTCTAAGGTAATTGTAAGCTTTACAAAACAAGAACCCTGGTTCTACATTCCTTAATTTCAAGGAGTTCTTTGTGGCGCTTGTAATTTGTTCTGTGAAATGGTTTGCTGTGTTTCTAAGATATCTAAATTGGAGAAGAAGAGACTGATGGAGACTTAGTAAGGCTATTGACATTTTGTTCAAAGCGTGGTGACTGATCATTTTCAATCTCCATCAAAGCTTTAATCACAAAAATTTCCCAAACCTCTGCATGAGACACTTAAGTTGAATAATTACAACTGAGTATTTCGCTTGTACCACATGCTGTGCCAGCTCCTTTACATGAATCATCCTACCTGATCTGCAGAACAAGCTAAATGGCAAGTGTATTTTTTGGGTGGGGCCACCACAACAGGGTACCACAAGTTGGATACCCCACATAGAAGTCTATTGTCTTACAGGTCTGGAGGCTACAAGTTCAAGAGCAGGCTGTTGGCAGAGTTGACTCCTCCAAGGGATGTGAGGAGAATCTGTCCCAGGCTTCTCTCCTATCTGCTGGTAGACTAGCTCTAGTATTGGTTGTTCTTGACTTGCAAATCTTTGCCTTCATCTTCAGGGTTCTCCCCACGTGTATCATCTTCTCCTTCTCCTTCTTCTTTTTAACAAAGAAGCTTGTTCTATTGGATTAAGAACCCACCATGCTCCAATTCAACTGATATAAGCTCATCTTAACGAACTACATCTGCAATGACCTTTCCAAGTAACACATTCTAAAGTATAGGAATTAAGACTACAACAAGTGATTGATTGTAGGCAAAGAGGAAGAACACAATTTTACCCATTCATAGATAAGGAAAAAGACCTAGACGGGTTATATTAGTCAGTTGAAGTGGCTGAAGCCCTAGGGTTCACATGCTAGCTACCTGGTGACTCTAAGAAGAGAGGGGAAGAAGGTGGTTAGGGCAACACAATAACCTAGACCATTAGCACCTGCCCTGCAAAGCTGTTCAGACAGGGGATGATGGGTAAACTCTGTAGTTAGACAAATCTGCAGCAGCTTCAGGAAGTTATCCTAGCTCTTTTTTACTTCCTCTGTAAAAATGAGATGATGGAAGCCACTTCATGAAGCTGTGAGGAGCAGGACAATGGCTGAGAAATAGAATGATGCTCACTTTGACTATTCAGCTGCATGAAGATGACTTCTAGTCAATATCCAGATTCCCACATTTGGGCCCCTTTTAAAATGCATTTATACCATTAGTGCAGTTCTTGACCAGATATATCATTCAGGAAGGAATCAAGGCAGAGAAAGGTCACTTCTTAGCAAGCAGTGGTATTGGTACCTGCCAGTGGGCACTTCTACTGTCCCATGTGCTGCAGGAAGGATGCCAAGCCTGGTCCTCAGACACCAAAACAGCAAAACCCTGCAATAGCCTCTAGTCAGGCAAGGCACCAAACACTACACCTCTTTCCAAGATTTTCCACAAGAAGGACTCCTGCCATGGCTAAGACCCACTGTGGATGCTGGCAGGACCCAGGCTGTGCCATCTTTAGGAAATTCCATGGTACCTGGCACAGGAGCAAATACCCTTGAGTGTTTATTTGTCCTCAAGTGGCTGTTGTTGACTTCCTTCAGGGTGATCTCTGCAGCCCCACAATCTTTATTCCCCTCTGGGAGAAGCTGGGGCAAGTTCCAGGGCATAGTTGCAGGAGGTGGGGACGGGCAGGTTCTCAGTTTGGAGGGCAGCACTAGAGTCTCCTGGAAGCCACACCACAAATCCAGTTGCCAGGAAGAAGCATTTTCTGAAGACCGCATTTCCTGAGCTACTTAATCTTGCGGACACACTGCAGCCACGCGTTCACGCAGCAGGTAGAATTCAGTGCAACGCACTCATGCCTGCCTTTCACTCAGGTGAAAGCTCAGTGGCTGCCCCTCCCTTTGATGAGTGCTGCTTTTCGAGTCACACCATCCTCTTTCTCCTTTTGCAACAAATTCTAATGTATCAGACTTAGTATTCTGAAATGGAAGCTAGCCATGCATTGATTTAATCAAGCTCAGGAGTGCCTACATGGATGTGTTCGATTTGGTTTCAATGCTGTGAAGTTTCCGCTACTCAAATGCAAGAGGTTCAAAAAGGAAAGAAAAACAACACTTACTGAGTGAAATAAAAGCCCGGTCCTGCCAGTGCCTGCCGAGCCTGAGCAGTGAGTGGCTTGCTTTACTTTCAGATAAATTGTCATTGAAGCAAAACCCAGATAGGAGAAATGTGAACCTCCTCTCTTTCAACGCTACCCATTGTGTTCAAATTCATAAGCAAGAAAGCTAAGAGCCGTCCCCCGTCCCGCCCATTCTCTTTAAGAAAATATGAAAGTTGGTGCTTTGAAACAGAATTACACTGCACTCAAAACTTTGAGTGATAACTGCATTCACATCCAACCGGATCTGCAGTTGCTTTCCAAAAAGTTCTTTCTTCTCAGCGGTGCGAATTAACCCACCTGGCACTCGCTCTTCTAAAAGAAGCCTGTTCCTATGAATGAAACTGCTTTCCTGGGGCTCATGCGGAAGCTGCCCTCCCCGAGGGCTTGGGCAAAGCAGGCAAAGGAAGTCACCGGGGAGGGAGCGCCACGGCCGGCTGCCGGTGGAGGCTGCCCTTGGCTGGAGCTGCAGGTGCTCCGGCACTCGCTGTCCTGCCCAAGATGCAGTCTCTGGATGCCGATGAACTCATGGTGGATGAAGAGGATGATATTTTCGGTGAAGGTAAATGCGTCTTTCTGGCAGGGGCCATTCATCTCTGCTTAGCTTTGTTTGGCCGCTGTGGGAAGTTTAGGCAAGGAGTTGAGTGTTCTGAAATGAGCAGAAACAGCACTCAGTGAGGTGGGCAATGAGGGTATCAGACTGGGCTCCCAAGGATTACAAGGCAAAGGGTAAGATTAGGGAGTGGAGTGGATTCTCCAATACTTAAAGTCATGCCTTGGTAAAGATTTACTCAAGGCAGACTGATGAAATTGTGATTCCTTATGAAGGACTAAACTATTGTGATAATATGGGGAAAATCAGTCGGAGAGGGGGGTGGGAACTTGTGTGGGGGTGGGGGGAAATCCCAGACCCTCTGTACCATAAAATTTATATATAAAAAATATTTACTCAAGGTAGAAAAACAGTCCTAAATCTTTCTGCAGTTTCTCTCCTGTGCTGTCTTGTCTGTGGGATTAGACACCTCTCTCAGGCTCTGGCTCTCTCCCTATCTGAATCCAAATCTTTCCCTCTTTTGCTCTTCCTCACATTTATTGGCAGTCAACTCTCTGGAGTTCCCCTCCCTGTCCTTGTTCTCCCAGGCAGAGGTGCTGGAGCCCTGGGAGTTTCCAGGAAGTCGACTAATACCACCTCATCTTCCATTTGCACTTCACTCTCCTGTCGGTTGCCACTGCAGTGGGGCTGGATTGAAAGGGCTGCGATTTTGAATGATTAGTAAGCTAGGAATATGTTCTTTCAGTGCTGTCCATGAGACTGGGCTCCTCGCAAGATCTTTTCTCATATTTGGAACTGAAGAAATAATTGGCAATCTGGACTATGGGTCTCCATGATTTGGCTAATTTGCATAGGCATCCAATGAGCAGTTGGAAAAAAATTCTATCAAGTAACTTCAAAGGGGCAGTAGTAAGTGTATATATGTGTGTGAATAACTCAGTCATATAAGATCATTACAGAAAGATTTAAACATCTTATATAGTAAGAATCCCTTGGAAGCTAGTTATCTAGACAATACAATCACTGTCAATATTTCATGTCTATCCACTATTTTATTCTAGACATACACATATTGAAAGTCATAATTTTGGTTTTTATCACAATTGAAGTTGCTTGGAGCATGTCTACTTAAGGAGGTTTCTCAGTCTGTTGCTTTATTTTGATGGCAGGCACGTACAACTATCAGGACTTTGAAATTCAATCTTAGGCTGAGATCTTCAGCTCTCACTTCTACTTGAAGATGTTTTCTCTAGTTTTACCCTCCTAGATACTAGCTCCCTGTAGAGTTTACAAAATATCCCCCCTAGGAAAATAAGCCTGCACCAGACAATTTAGTAATTATTCGTCTGACCCTCCCTCAAGGCATGGGGTTCCAGGTCTCCCGGCCCACATTTCTTGTATACAAATTATGCTCTTTTGCACCTGGCTGGGGTGCTGAAACAGTGCCACCTACAGACTGAGGTAGCACCCTGCATCATGAGTGGCACCACCCTGAAGGGAAGCCATAGGCTCACAAAGCAGGCTTGGTCAACCTTAAGGATGACTCTCCTGAGCACCCAGAATTATGCGGTGATTATTTTAACCTGAACAGCCATGGTGGCAAGTCAAGCTGGAAGACAGACGAATTCTGGTGCTGCCTTGCAGTAGCAACATTTCCTCAGTGGTGTATTGGGTCAGCAATATTGTTTGTATCAAGCTCCAGTGTGATGGTCACTGCCCTTTCCAAATGGGCCACTTTACTGGATCCTGGAGATTATAGGGAGACTTCTTCCAAGGCCAATATATTCAGTGTGTCTTCACTCAGCTTTCAGTCATGCTTGGCTCGTGTTTGCTAATTGAGAGACAAGCTTACCCAGTTGGTACCTGCTCTTCTGTGGGTGCTGTGCAAAGTCACCATCAGGAACTTGGGCTCTGGAGGTGCCCTGCTAGAACTCTGCCCAGCCATTCACTCTGTAACCTTACAAGGCTATTTCAACTCCCTGTTCTTCCACTTACCCTAAAGGAAAGAACAAATTTCACAGGGCAGAGTGCTGATTAAATATTGCTAGACACGAAGTCCTTAAAATAATCTTTAAAACATGGCAAAGACTCAGGAGATATGAATTTCTGCTATATGTATAAATATGAGTTTATAAAATTGTTATGATTAGAGGAATGCAGCGATTTATTCACATGCTTGGTAGATTCAAAGTAGAATTATAAGAAACTTCTAAGAGGTTTAACATGGTAGAAACAGCACTGGACAAATTAAAAGCCAAGATCGTAACCTTGCCCTTGCCTGGTATACAGCCTCTTTGAGCTTCATTTTTCATCAAAATTGGAAGTGTTAATTATACACACTCTGAGATCACGTTTTGTAAAGTTCCAACATCCTACTTCATCTCTGTAGAGAATGCTTTCAAAAGTTAGTGGAAAATGGAATTAGAAGTGTGAGTCTACGTCCGTCTAACTTTCTAAATCCACGCATAGTTTTTCTCATGATATGTGCTTTTTATATTTTATGAAAAAAAAGTCTACCAAAATAAGCTCATACTATTATTTTTGTTTTTCCATGAACTTTTGCTGGAGCTCCTGGCTGAGTTCCTGGAAGAACTCATGCTTGTTCTCTGCTCCATCTGTGCTTCCACTCACTTAGTCCCCAAGAAAGCAGGAGGAAGCTGCTGGTTTAATGAATGTCCCTCATCATAACCCTAACCCAAGACCCAGGGCCTGCCTAGTAGGATACTATATTTGCTTGTTGTCAACACATTTTTATAGACTCCTTTTCTTCTAGTAAGAACATAAGTTTAGGAACCAGATTATTTTGGTTAAATCATACAAATGTGAATTATTTTGATATATATTATTTTACATACACCATGGACCACATAAAGATCTGGAATGAAAAAAAAAAAAGCTGTGCTCACTATGTGCTTTGGGATGGCCTGTCTGAGCTGCTTCCCACTGGAGCTAGTGTCCTCTGAGGTTCAAGACAATGTCGAAATGCACAAAACCAAACGGTGCGTGTGTGTAACCTTGGTTCTGTCAACAGGCTGACATGTGATTGGAGAAGGCAACCACAGATCTCAATATTCATTCTCTCGCTCTCTTTTCTACACACACACACCCTTAAGCTTGTTGTTCCAAACCCTACTACCAACATCATGTTATTTAGAAAATGATTACTAGCGGGGAGATTTACTCTTTCTGGGAAAAATGATTGATTTGATTATATTTGCTTAAAAAACAACAACAAATAGAATCACAAGCTCTTTTCCTACTGCTATTTCAAGCCTAGCAAATTAAAAGGCTTTCATTTGTTTTGTCCCATGTAGTCTTCACAGCCAATCTGACGCTTATTGGTGGAAACAGCTGGATGGGTGCTGATGGGAATAAGAATTGCAACAGTGATGATGATGGGGATGATTGGCAAAAAAAAAAAATTAAAAAGGGCCTTGCAGAGTGGAGGCCTCAGCCAGCTTTGAAAAATAGAACAACAGAATTCCTGGGTGGACAGAAACAGTTGGCCAGGTGGTGGTCAGTATTGTAGCAGCCAGAAGATCTCCCTGGCAGCAGGTCAAGCTGTTATTGCATCTTTCCCAAGGCACCAGAGTCTTTCCTCATTACCTGCATTTTAGCCCTGCTTGGTAACCTGTTACCAAATGCAATGATTAAAATAATTAAAAAAAAAAAAAAACACACAAGTTCAAAATGTGTGTGCAAAGTACTTCTCAGGCCTTTATATTCTTGGCACATTTACCTATCTTTTAAGATGTTGCTAAAAGGAAGGGGGAAAAAAAAGGAAATTCCAAGCTTTTACCAGATTTTGGAATGCCCCCCAGACCTGAGAGAGAATACTTCTACTCCAAAAAGCTGCCTGGGAACATGGTTTCACCTCCCTGAGAAGGAAACCCTTTTGGATGGAGATGGCCTGGCAAGTAAAAGTCTGCTTGACAACCAGCTGCCTGTTACTCCTTAAGAATAAACAGATGGGTGGACAAAAATGTCACTCCTTTTTAACCAAACCTCTCCTTTCCCCAAGCTGCAGGGTTAACACTCTTCTCAGCTCACAGAGAGAACAAGAACTGAAGAACACGAATCAGAACTGGAAGTGTCATTAAGATAGTCGCCTACTTTTTGTCCTTCCTTGTAGTCAGCCTACAAATACCAAATGAGTGCTTTTTTTTTCAAAGAGCTAAATTTAAAGAGCCCCGTGTCATAACCTGGGGTGACGATGTTGTAAACTAAATTATATGTGCCTCTTCCGAAATTAGAAGGAAATAGAAAGGAACGAAAAGGGATTTGACTAAGATTCTGAACAAAACCAACATATTCTGGAAGGCCAGATTGGTTTAGCAAGACTCTCCATAGAAACAGTGAAACGGGTGTAAAAACAGACGCACCGTGGCCAGAGGAAGGTGTTTTCTGTTTCATTATGCCACATCACAGATAAATGCAGACTTGCTGCTTGACTTTGTTAAGTAGTTCTCAAAAATCACCTGGGGTACTCCCCTGGCCGCAAGTCAGGGAGCAGCAGCCCTCATTTCCTGGGCTGGAAAGACCTGACTGCTGGCTGTTTTCACAATCTGCTGGGTTTGTTTAATTTCCACCTCTGGGTTCTTGGAGCAGGGCTTTGCTTGGGAGTCATTTCCCTGCTTTCTTCATCCTGAGTTCTGGAGCAGATACAGGCCTTCCATAGTAATTCATGCCCGAGTGAGCTCTGTCTGGGATTACCAAAAGCATTCTCTTCCCATAGATGTCTAGGAAGCTTTCTTTGGCTGGTGCCAAAGAGGTGGTGTCATGTGAGGGGCACAGACTAAAATAGCACAGTGCACTAAAGCTATGCAGCCTGTCGGCCACCAGTCTGCCAGTCCACCCCTCTGATTTACGACCTCCGGAGACCTCACTGTGACTTATGTATATTAGACTGATGCCAAAAGGGATCCAATAGTACAAGGAAAGCATTTCAAGTGTTTATTTGGCTATGTCTATGAGCAGCCAGCTAAGTCTTCATCTTTCAGAAATATACT